GTGACGGGTTGCATGCTAAGTACGGTCCTACCTAATTCCAAGATTTCTTTGGAGAGTTAGCTAAGTTGCACCAAATTGGAACTCTACGAAACTACCAAACTCAATTTGAAAGGCTGCTCACTAATGCGGGTACCTTCCTCCTAACCGCCAAGTCAGTTGTTTCATCAACGAATTAAATGACAACATCAAGGCAGACGTGTTAGCAGGGTGTCCTACTACTTTATCAGCAGCTATCGGACTTGCTCGTTTGTACGAGGCCCGCAATTTCTCGCAGCGGCGAGATGTTTTAATGTCCGAATCAAAGGAGTCCATTAAAACCAAAGAGGAGGCAACCAACAACAGTCCTACACTTCCAGTTCGACGGATGACACCTGTTGAATTGCAAGAGAGACAGAGAGAAGTGCAAAAGGGTTGTGCTATAATTGTAACGAGAAATTTGTGACAGGACATCGATGCAAGTTATTTTTAATTGAGGTCTCTTATGAAGAAGAAGATAACATCGCTACAACAGACCAACAATTTCTTGATTTTGACGTTACGTAACATCTCAGTACATACCGATTTTAATCTTGAGGACAAGACCGAATTTTAAGAAGGGAGGAGATGTTACGTGCCTAACATGTAGCTCCTTTTCCTTAATGATAAGCATGGTAAATACGGCAGGCATAGGTATGTATATCTCATGCACCATCGCATATAGGATGGTAAATACACGATGGTAAATAAAGTAGGCATGGGTATGTATATATCATGCACCCGTGTAGAAGTCATTAATAAAGTCATGTATATCGGTTGATTGAGTCCTTGGGGGAGTCTTTGGGTAGATTTACATGAGTAGTTAGTAGAAGCTTATCTTTTGGTTATTTTCTTGTAATCAACTCGGCGTAAGTATAATATTTAATGAGAAGTTAGTAGAAGCTTATTTTTTGGCTATTTTATTGTAATCAACTTGGCGAGTATAGTATTTAATGAGTATAGTATTTATTGGGAAGTAATCTTTTGGGAGTCTTTGGGTAGATTTACACGAGTAGTTAGTAAAAGCTTATCTTTGGCTATTTTTTGGGTAGATTTACATGAGTAGTTAGTAAAAGCTTATCTTTTGACTATTTTTTTTGTAATCAACTATAGTATTTAATGAGAAGCAATCTTTTGGATCAACTTGACAAGTATAGTATTTAATGAGTATAGTATTTAATGAGATGTAGTCTGTTGGGAGTCTTTGGAGGAGTATTTGGGTAGATTTACCTGAGTATAATTGGGTAGATTTACTTGAGTAGTTAGTAGAAGCTTATCTTTTTGGCAATTTTTTTGTAATCAACTTGGCTTGAGTACAGTATTTTGAGTATAGTATTTAATGAGTATAATATTTAATGAGAAGCAATCTTTTGGGAGGGAAAACTAAAACGTAATGAGTATATTATTTAATGAGAAGCAATCTTTTGGGAGGGGAAACTAAAACCCAATCAAGTGTTAATGAGACCAGGTTTCTTCCATTAAACCTATTTTACTCACTACTCATTAGTTGTTTTTGTTTTTTCCTGCATTAGCAAGATAGGTACGTCGAAGAGTAAAAAGAACTCTCCCCACTTATGTTACATTAATCAAGACAAATTCACGACCAAAACTAGGAGCATGGTAAAAAGAGCAGTTCCCTTTAGAACTTCTCAAATATCGTTGATTGATCCCATGAATATGAAGATTTATTTCTTACATAACGAACCCAAGCTTTATATAAAGGTGTCTTACAAATAACTAGTGGTTCTTTTTTAATGACAATGATTTTCAAAACCTTACTTCAAATGAAAAGCTTTTGATATAGAGTGATCATGACAGGGGAGATCGAACCATGAACTTCAAGGCAAAGCATAAGGTGTTGTAGGGAGAGAAAGTAGCAGTTTAAATTCCCTTATAAAAGAAAGAAATACCTTTGATACTTAGGCTTTCCTCTTGAGGGCTATATGAGATGGCCTAAGACGACGTGGTGGCAGCAATGGACCTAACCATGCACCTAAGTGCGATGTTGATAACAATGGACCTGACCATGCGTGTATG